TATTCAAGAGTTTTTTTTATAAAGAATTCTCAATATAAGAATAAAAAAAATTACCAATGCTCAAATTTAAACTTCCTACTTATCTAATGTTATTCTTTAAATATAATTATATAAACTAACTATTAAATTAATATTCTTCTATTTTAATTACTAGGATAAGGTTCTGATTTAAATGAAAATTTAAGAGTTGGGCAAATGTTAATTAGATGACCACAATAAACATTGATGAAAATTGCATGCGTGACTTTTGGAAAGAAAATCAAAAATGAAATATAGCTTTATATCAAACTATAAATGAAACAAAATTTTCTATGAATAGTTTGTGAATAAATTTAATTTTTATTTATTTATATTTATTTGTTAAGATTAACAAATGATAAAAATAATATTTTGAAATGTATTACTTAAATGAACATATCATATTCATTGTAAAATTCATTAATATTTGATTCGTTTGTGCAAATGATAACATACTTGAGTTTTGTTTGTTTATATTCATTTATTAAATTTAAAAAATATCACAAATAATATTTAAAAATTCATTAATTGAACAAACAAATCATGAACGTAATTTTCAAAATATGAAAGATTGATTAAAACAAATATGTTGCTTATTGTATGAAATAAGAAACCTAAATGAAACATAGAACAAACTTGAAAGTTAGATGTATTTAGATTTGAAGTTCTAGCAAAGGCATCCGAATACCCTTAGAAGATATCCGAATAGTACTCTTTTGTTTGAAGAAAAAGGAAAATCTAGCTTGGATATTTAAATGCCTTGAATGATACTACGTTTCTGTTTGAACAAAAACAAAGATTTAACTTGGGCATTCGAATACTCTATTCAAGGTATTCGAATGCTAACCCTCAGTTTGAGAAATTAAGCTTGGGAATTCGAATGCCTATGCATTCTGGAAGCAAAAATACAAAGGGATATTCGATGCCCATAAAGGATATCCGAATACTACAATACAATACAAAAGTCATAATTTTAAAAAAAGAATGAAAGGTTTCTTGCAAATAAAAGCATGATCTTTCATATATGATGTTTTACGTAAATAAATATTTTTGTAATTATTTAGAGAGATGTGTTTTAATTAAAGAAATCGTTTGTTGTTGAGTCACATCCTTACGAGATTTCATTTATAATATGATTCAAGTAGTTCAAAAGATTAAATAATTTAAAAAAAAAAAATTTTTTTTAATTCTTTCTTGAATAAAGATTAGTTACTTTTGACATTCTTTTCATAAAAATTAATGTTCAAAATTAAATATTTTCTCTCTTATTAAGAGATGTTTACTGGTTTGACATCACAAATGTAATGTCACATCAAACAAAGTTTTATTGTAATTGAAAAACATTTCAGTTACGACAATAATCAAAGTCACAAGTGGAAAATCATCATCCATTACAGATTCACAAAGATTGTGCAAGTCTTGAATTTCTAACCGTTCATGTTTGATTCATTAATATCCCTATCAACAAATTAAAGGTAGAAAGAGATTAGTAATTGATAAGCCTGATTCAACCTTAACACTAGAAAGTAGAAATAGCAAAATAAATTCAAATCTAAAAACTCAACCCCGAACCCGTATAAACTTGATATCTGGAAACTTAACTACTCCAGGCAACAGGAAATAAACCTAGAGCAAAAGCATTTTTAAGCTTAAAAACCATAACACATTAATACATCTTTAAATGGCAAAGATTCACCAAAACAATAATAAAAATTTAAGATAGATTGAAAATACATTTTTCAGAGTAGAGAGATAACTTGGTTCGAATGATTTACTTCGTTTCTTAAACCAGTGCACTGAAACCAATAGGACAATTTTTTTTTATATTTTTATCTTTTTGCTCAGCCAAAATAAATTTTATTAATATTCCAAATGGTATGGAGCTAGCAACAAGGCAAGCAATAGCAAAGTAACTATAGCATAGTTCTATTGCAAGAAAAACAGAGCTTCTTAAAATCATACTATAACATACAAAATCACCTTAAAAGCCAAAACTTATAAATCTGGGCGTGATTTGTGAACAGTCAAAAACTCCAAACTTTTATCAACTCAACCAAATAGCCTCCAGCTTTACACTTTTAGCTATATAAAGCTGAGAAGTGTCAATCAAAGCAGGGTAAAAACACAAACAGCCTTGCAGCACATATACCACCAAGCTTGTATCATGTCTGATCTGGTCACACTATCTCATCCCTGATATATAAAAGATCTAAAGCATCCTGATTTTAACTTCCTCCATACAATCTAAAAAAAAAAAACAGAATTAAACAAAAAACCATCACTCCATAATCTATTCTTTTCTTCCAGCCCACTTGAAGCATACACGTTTACAAATGCAATCACTCAAAAATATTCCCCAACTCATTCCAACAAAACTCCAGAAATAACAAGACATTTCAAGATTCAATTCACATTCAACACCCACAGCCCAGATAACAACTTTCCTCATCTCTTATTAACGTTTTTCATAACTGCTTGTTTATTATACAAAATTCCCCAACTTCTTTAAATAAATGCTTTTCATGTTCTCCTTTGTATATCATTCTATATTGATGCTTTCTAATTGGAGCTTCACCAATTAAACCTCTGCCTGCAAACGTCCTATTCTACCTTTTTTGCCATCTACTTTCCTTTCATATTCATTGAACCCATTCGTAGCCCCGCAGTCTCCTTGTAAAACCTCTAGTCAAAAACTCCAAACTCCACCAAAACAATCGGAAGATAAATTTATAAACATGTCAAATTTATTAAAGAATATGGAGTTCTAATATGTCTTTATGTGGATGATATGCTAATCTTTGGTACTAATATCATTGGCATGAATGAAATCAAAAGGTATCTGATTTCCAATTTCAAAATGAAAGATTTAAATGAAGTTGACACCATTTTGGGAATTAAAGTTAAGAGATATAATATGGGTTTCATTCTTATTCAAAGTTATTATATTGAGAAACTACTTAATAAGTTTAAGTATCTCAATATAAAAGAAACCAATACTCCATATGATACAAGTATAAAATTAACAGAAAATCAAGATAATGTAATTGCACAACTTGAATATGCTAGTGCTATTGAAAGTATTATGTATGCTATGCATTGTACTAGGCCAAATATAGCTTTTGCTATTTGCAAGTTATCGAGATATAAAGTAAGCCTAGTATAAGTCATTGAAAAGCCATAGGAAGAGTTCTAGGTTATCTTAAAAGAACTAAAGATTTTGGCTTATTTTATTTCGAAAATCCGACTGTTTTGGAAGGATATTCATATGCAAGTTGGATCACTAGTATAAGTGACAATAAATCCACTTTAGAATGGATGTTTACCCTTTGAGGTGATGCAATTAGTTGGGCATCCAAGAAACAAACTTGCATTTCACATTCAACTATGGAATCTAAATTTATAGCTTTAGCTGCAGCAAGCAAGGAAGCTGAATGGCTAAGAAATTTATTAATGGATATAGAATTGTGGCCACAACCAATGACAGCCATTTCCTTGTACTGTGATAGTGAAGCTACTATGTCTAGAGCTTATAGTGAAATTTATAATGGAAAATCTAGACATATTAGTCTAAAACATGATTATATCAGAAAATTGATAAAAAATGGGGGTAATTTACCATCATATATGTTAAATCTGCTAAAAACTTAGTAGATCCTCTTACCAAGGCACTATCTAGAAATTTTGGTAAGAAGCACCACAAGTGGAATGGATTTAACATTCCTTTTAGACACCAATAATGGGAACTTAACTTTGAATTAGTAACCTCTAATTACAAAGTTTAATAGGTAATAACAAATTATTGTTATGTGTCTGTAAACACTAGTCAACCCATTCTATATATTTGGAATACTAGTGTAAGTCATTGTGTAAATGGAGGATGAGATTAAACTTTTAATGGAGTTAATAATTAAATGTCTATAGCAATGGAAACATAAATGAGAAACTTCACCTATATAAACATAGAAGTGGTGCCGCTTCAACAAAAAAATTGGAAACTTTCTTGTAAATGTTTATGAATAAGGATAAGCACATGGCCATAATAGTGCTAAAGCGATTATAAACCTCTAACAGAATATTAAACAAATATTATGTGTGTTATATCTTTAATTTTAACATTAGGAGTTGAGGTTTAATCTGCGGACACCATCAACTTTGTTAGAATTCTAAGTTATATACGCTACTTGAAGGTTTAAATCGAAAGATACTTTTTTGTATTCATAATATTTATTTGTGTGAAAGGTTAAAGCTTAAGCACCAACATTCCAAATTAGTGGGAGATTGTTGGTAGTTTAGAATGTGGTGTATCCCACATTGAGTAAAAAGATCACTTATAAATGGTTTAAAAGAAATTACTTATATTATTTAAGTAATTGAGCTAAGTGTTGGAGTGGGCCAAGTCATTTGGGCTTGCTAGGAGTTTTCCTAGTGGGTTGGACAATTTTAAAAGTCAAAGATGGGCACTTGGGCACTTGGGCTTGTTTGGCAAATAGATTTAATTTTTAAATCTTTATTATTATTTATTTATTTCGAAATATTATTGATTCCGAATAAATATGCTTGAACAGTAAAAGACATGATTGTTTAAATAAAGTTTATCTAAACAATAAAATATAACTATACAAAATGTCATGACTTTTTGAATTGGTTGGATTAATGACTGTTCATTTATTATAAATAAATCTTTCTACCTGACCAATTTCACTACTTTTGATTTAAAGAGTTTTAAGGTTTTGTTATATCTATAAGCATAATTGCCTTTAAGACAGTGTTATTCACGCCTTAAAGTCATATTTTTTTCTTTCTTACTATTTCTGTTTTTCTTAAATCTACTAACAATTTAAAGGCAATTATGGATACTACATCACTATTGTCCCTACTACTGCTATGGATTTGGAATCAAGCATGAAGGTTCATTTTAAAATCAAGATGTAATCAGACTTTATCGTTTTAATGGATCAAACTACACTAGGTGGAAGGACAAAATGGTTTTTCTATTGACAGCATTGAAGATGTTTTATGTACTTGATCCAAATTTGAAACCAATTCCAAAACCAACTCCTGAAGATTCTGATACTATTAAGGCAACAAGAAGCAAACGTGAAGAAGATGAACTAGTCTGTCGAGGTTATATTCTGAATTCATTATCTGACCGTCTATATGACCTATACAGAAATATGAAAACACCAAAAGAGATATGGACTGCTCTTGAGCACAAATACATGAATGAAAAAAAAGGTACGGATAAGTTTTTGGCTTTGAAATACTTTGAATTTTCAATAACTGATGATAAACCAATCATGGACCAAGTGCATGAGTTGCAAATTCTGGTCTCTAAGTTAAGTGAGCTGGAAATTAAGGTTCCTGATTCACTTCAAGTTGGAGCTATTTTGTCAAAACTTCATCCTTCATGGAATGGATATAGGAAGAAAGTTTTGCATTCAACAGATACTTTCACTATTGAAGAATTTCAAACTCACATACAGATTGAAGCAAAAAATCGTGCAAGAGATGCACTCTTCCTTGGAGGTTCCAATGTGAATTACGTGAGTGGACAAAATTTTGAAAAAACTCACAAGTCTTTTGGTAAATTTCAAAACAATTTTAAAGTCAAGAAGAATGGATTTAAGAAGTCCAAATTTAACAAGAACAAAATGTGTTTTCATTGTGGAAAGAAAGACATTTGATTAAAGATTACAGATTTAAAAACGCTGAAATTAAGATTGGTTCTAGTTCTGAAAGCAAGGCAAATCTGGTTGAGCAAAAAATTAATGAACTTATTGCAATGGTGACTGACATGCAAATTGGAATGATCACCGAAGTTCATATGGCTACTACAAATAAGTCATCTGATTGGTGGCTAGATTCTGGTGCAACAATTCATGTTTGCAACAACAAAAAGCAGTTCAAGACTTATGAAGAATGCAAGAAACCAGAAAACATCCTTATGGAAATCATGTTCCTGCCAAAGTGATTGGAAAAGGAACGGTTGAATTGAAATTCACCTCAGGGCAGAAACTAACTCTAATTAATGTTTTTCATGTTCCTGAGATTAGAAAGAACCTTGTATCTGTAAATCTATTATGTAAAAAAGGCTTTAAGATTGTACTAGAGTCTGATAAAGTTATAGTCTCCAAAAATGGTGTATTCATTGGAAAAAGATATTCCAATGATGGTATGTTTAAACTAAGCATTGATGAAATAAATAATGTTTCTGCTTATATTGTTGAGCATTCTTCTTCTTTATGGCATGCTAGATTAGGACATTTAAATTATCATTATATGAATCATATGACTAAGCATGGTTATATAACATACCAGAAAAATCATGACATTAAATGTGAAATCTGTGTCAAAGCAAAAATGACTAAGAAACCTTTTCCTAAAGCTGAAAGAAATACAGAATTATTAGAACTTATACATTCTGATATTTGTGAGCTAAATGGTTTATTAACAAGGGAGGAAAAAGGTATTTTATAACATTTATAGATGATAGTTCTCGTTATACTTTTGTGTATCTAATGAAAACAAAAGATGAAGCCTTTGATAAATTCAAAGAATATAAATCAGTTGTTGAAAATCAAAAGGAGAAGAAAATCAAAATTCTTCGAACAGATAGGGGTGGTGAATATTTTTCAGATTCATTTTCTCTTTTTGTGAAGATAATGGAATTATTCATCAAAGGACAGCCCCTTATGCACCCCAACAAAATGGTTTAGCCGAAAGAAAAATAGAACCTTGGTTGATATGGTAAATAGTATGTTGTTAAATGCTAAATTACCTCTAAATCTTTGGGGAGAGGCACTTTTAACAGCATGCCACATACATAATAGAATTCTTTCAAAGAAATTCTTAAAGACACCATATGAACTTTGGAATCATGGCAGAAAACCAAATTTGGATTATTTTAAAGTGTGGGGTGCATTGCCTTTTATAAAATACTCATCCTCATAAATCAAAATTAGGACCTAGAGGTATTAAAAGTATTTTTGTTGGTTATGCACAGAATTCAAAAGCATATAGACTTCTTGATTTAAATACTAATGTTATTGTTGAATCTATTCATGTAGAATTTTTTGAAAATAAGTTTATATGTGATACCAAAATTGATATGGAGAAACAAATTGAAATGATTCCTACGAATGGAAATAAAAGAAAAGAAAGTAATGATTCTGTTGAAATTAGAAGGAGCAAAAGAGTTAGAAAAGATAATCTTTTACTTTCTGATTTTGTTTCTCCAGATTCTATAGTATTCCTAGTAGAAGGGAATAGAACCAAAGTGCTTAAGAAAACACCAATTCTACTAAATGTAGATGAAGACCCTAAAACATTTAATGAAGCTATGACTTCAAGAGATGTTGCTTTTTGGAAAGAAGCTATTAATGATGAAATGGACTCAATCATGTCCAATAATACATGGGTCTTGGTAGATTTACCTCCAGGTTCTAAACCTATAGGATGTAAATGGGTGTTTAGAAAAAAATATAATACAGATGGTTCTATACAAACCTTTAAAGCAAGATTAGTTGCAAAAGTTTTAAACAAAAGGAAGGCATAGATTATTTTGATACATATGCTCTAGTAGCTAGAATAACATCCATTAGAGTTCTTATAGCTTTGGCTTCCATTCATAAACTGCATGTGCATCAAATGGATGTTAAAACAGCCTTTTTAAATGGTGACTTAAAGGAAGAAATATACATGGAACAACCAGAAGGTTTTATTCTTCTAGGTAATGAGAATAAAGTTTGTAAATTAATTAAGTCACTTTATGGGCTAAAGCAAGCTCCTAAACAATGGCATGAAAAGTTTGATTCAATCATAGTAGCCAATGGTTTTAAACATAATGGAGTAGATAAGTGCATTTACTCAAAATTTACTAAAGAATATGGAGTTATAATATGTCTCTATGTGGATGATATGCTAATTTTTGTACTAATATGATTGGCATGAATGAAACCAAAAGGTATCTGATTTCTAATTTCAAAATGAAAGATTTAAATGAAGTTGATACCATTTTGGAATTAAAGTTAAGAGATATAATAAGGGTTTCATTCTTAATCAAAGTTATTATATTGAGAAACTGCTTAATAAGTTTAAGTATCTCAATATAAAAGAAACCAATACTCCATATGATACAAGTATAAAATTAACAGAAAATCAAGATAATGTAATTGCACAACTTGAATATGCTAGTGCTATTGGAAGTATTATGTATGCTATGCATTGTACTAGGCCAGATATAGCTTTTGCTATTTGCAAGTTATCGAGATATACAAGTAAGCCTAGTATAAGTCATTGGAAAGCCATAGGAAGAGTTCTAGGTTATCTTAAAAGAACTAAAGATTTTGGCTTATTTTATTTCGGAGATCCGACTATTTTGGAAGGATATTCAGATGCAAGTTGGATCACTAGTATAAGTGACAATAAATCCACTTCAGGATGGATGTTTACCCTTGGAGGTGGTGCAATTAGTTGGGCATCCAAAAAACAAACTTGCATTTCACATTTAACTATGGGAATCTGAATTTATAGCTTAGTTGCAGCAAGCAAGGAAGTTGAATGGCTAAAAATTTATTAATGAATATAGAGTTGTGGCCACAACCAATGACAGCCATTTCCTTGTATTGTGATAGTGAAGCTACTATGTATAGAGCTTATAATGAAATTTATAACGAAAAATCTAGACATATTAGTCTAAGACATGATTATATCAGAGAATTGAATAAAAATGGGGGTAATTACCATCATATATGTTAAATTTGCTAAAAACTTAGCAGATCCTCTTACCAAGGCGCTACTAGAAATTTGGTAGGAAGCACCACAAGTGGAATGGGTTTAAAATTCCTTTTAGACACCAATAATGGGAACCTAACTTTAAATTAGTAACCTTTAATTGCAAAGTTTAATAGGTAATAACAAATTATTGTTATGTGTCTGTAAATACTAGTCAACCCATTATATATATGTGGAATACTAGTGTAAGCCATTGTGTAAATGGATGATGAGATTGAACTCTTAATAGAGTTAATAATTAAATGTCTATAGCAATGGAGACATAAATAAGAAATTTCACCTATATAAACATAGAAGTGGTGTCGCTTCAACAAGAAAATTGAAAACTTTCTTGTAAATATTTATGAATAAGGATAAGCACATGGCCATAATAGTGCTAAAGCGATTATAAACCTCTGACAGAATATTAAATAAATATTATGTGTTTTATATCTTCAATTTAATATTAGGAGTTGAGGTTTAATCTGTGGATACCATCAACTTTGTTAGAATTCTAAGTTATATATACTAATGAAGGTTTAAATCGAAAAAATACCTTCTTGTATTCATAATATTTATTTATGTGAAAGGTTAAAGATTAAGCACCAGCATTCCAAACTAGTGGGGGATTGTTGGTAGTTTAGAATGTGGTGTATCCCACATTGAGTAGAAAGATCACTTATAAATAGTTTAAAGAAATTACTTATATAATTTAAGTAATTGAGCTAAGTGTGGAGTGGGCCAAGTCATTTGGGCTTGCTAGGAGTTTTTCTAGTGGGTTGGACAATTTTAAAAGTCAAAGATGGGTACTTGGGCACTTGGAGCACTTGGGTTTGTTTGACAAATAGATTTAATTTTTAAATCTTTATTATTATTATTATTATTATTATTATTATTATTATTATTATTATTATTATTATTATTTATTTCGAAATATTATTGATTCTGAATAAATATGTTTGAACAGTAAAAGACATGATTGTTTAAATAAAGTTTATTTAAATAATAAAATATGACTATACAAAATGTCATGACTTTTTGAATTGGTTTGATTAATGACTATTCATTTATTATAAATAGATCTTTCTGCCTAACCAATTTCACTACTTTTTGATTTAGAGAGTTTTAAGGCTTTGTTGTATCATATAGGATAATTGCCTTTAAGACAGTGTTATTCACACCTCAAAGCCATATTTTTTCTTTCTTACTATTTTTGTTTTTTCTTAAATCTACTAACATCAACCTGGTTCAACAATGATCCAACTTGGTTCAGTATGGTTTGGAGCGGTTCATGTAGGTTTGGTTGAACGAGTTTGGTTCTAAGCTGATGCGAGTTAAGTGTGCAAATTTCCAATCTAGGTTAGGTTATGGTGGGTATCCCCTTCATTCAACATGACATTTTTTTTTCAGATTATAAAAGCAAGAAAAATTCTCTTTTCATTTTCCTCCCTCCCTCTCTCTCTTTCTCATTCAATTAGCCAAAATAATAACCTAAAATGGTTACAGGGCACCGCTCACCAATGTTAGTCCAAGCCCAAATTTCACCTAGAGCTTTGTCTTGGTCTCCTCTTTCCAATTATCTAAGTCGTTTTTTCTAGAATCATCAATAACTTTCCTAGATCTAAGTTTGAACCACGACTTTAATACAAAAAACAACCTCTTTCTGTCACTTCGATGGTCGTCATTCCAACTATGTTCTTCTCCCTTCCATGGCTTTCTTTATCACCCAAAAAATATACCTTAATAACCATCCTACATCCCTAGAATAGAAATCTCAATTGTTTTGTGTTTGACTTTTTTTTTACTTTTTTTTGTTTGAATTTTTTATCTTCGTCGTTATTTCTCCCCACTGGAGATGTGTTTGCTTTTTGCATGTGTGGGTGTGCTTGTGTCTGAATGGTTTTTAGTGGTGGTTGTAAGCTACAAGGGTTGGTTTTGGTAGTGATGGTTGGTGTTAGATAGGTGAGGCTTGTGTAGATGTTGGTCGAATGGTGGGCATGGTTGTAGGTTGTCATATGGTGGGTCATGGCAGGGGTTTGGTGCTTTTTGGTTGTTATTGAAGCTACGATGGTGATTTTTGGCAAAGTATTTTTAATTCCAAAGAAAATTGACCTATGAATTTCTTTTTCAAAATTCACCCATTTGCTCAACCTGTGATATATGCTTCATTTAAGGAGTTGATCTAGGATAAAAGTCCAT